CTCAACACCCTGGGGAGGAGAGCATCTGGACCCGCTGACTTGAACATGTCCAACCCCTCCAGAAGCTTTCTAACCCGGTCCTCCCCAACCTGAGGTCTGGAGGCGTTCCCCTTGAGTCCATCTGGCATCACAGCGGGGAAGTCCTGGTCCCTGCACAAGAAAACGGAGGTGAAGAATTGGTTAAAGAGTTGCGCTTTCTCCTCTGGCGCAACCAGCAGATTGCCCAGCGTACTTTGAAGGGGCCCCACATTACCCAGTGCCTTCTTCATCCTCCCTATATATTTGAAAAAGGACTTTTTATTATCCTTGATCTTGGACGCTAGTCCTAGCTCTATGTCCACCTTATTATAAATGGATCTATGTCAAAATGGCAGGAGGTTTTGAGTGGAGTCCCATGGGGATCTGTCCTGGGGTCAGTGCTGTTCAACCTATTTAATAATAATTTGGATGTTAGCACAGAAAGCTTCTTCAGCAAGTTTGTAGTTGATATGAAACTGGGAAGGATTGCAAACATGTTGGAGGATGGGATTGTAATTGAGAAGGATCTTGAGAGATTGGAAAGCTGGCCTGAAGCTAACAGGATGACATTCAGTACTGACAAATGCAAGGTGCTATACCTTGGGAAGAACAATCAAAAATACAAAATGGGTGACCCCTGGCTATATGGCAGCTCTATGGAAAAGAACCTGGGACCCTTGGTAGTCCTGTTATCTAGATTACAGGTAAGGTTACTGATGAAAGAGGCAGACACAGGTCTACAGCCCAACCTTTTATTTGCTTGCACCTTAAAACATGAAAACAAACATTTATCCCAAAGTCTGTCTGGGTACAGTACAACATAGATTTCTCACTTATACTGGCTGGAGAGACTCAAGGTAGAAGGAGGGTGGCCCACAGATTAGCAGCAGGTCTTGAATTTACTGAATTTTTCAAATTTCCCTCCAGCCTATGCCCAGTATTTATAAATGGCTGGTTTTAATAATCTAATAAATGATCTCTGATTGGTTTTATTTACATTTCTTTGTTTTAGAGGTGCCATGTATTGGATTGGCACCAATTAAAAGGAAAATTAACATTATCAGCTATCGGTTTTTTGGGGGGCAGATGTAGTCTATAATGTGCCTTCTGGACAGGTGTCTGGATGTTGTGTGCGTGCATGCAGCCATAGCATGTACATGGCCAGGAATGCAGCTGGGTGTCATGGAGAGCAGTGCTCTGTAGGTAAATCTGTTGAGGGGAAGGGGTGTGGGGGAGGGAAGGGATGTTTGGGGAAAGATTGAGGCCCTCACAGTGAGGGAGGGACTGGGGGGTTGAGGTTGCTGCCCAGCCAGGGCAGTGAATGGGACCTGGGGCAGGGAGTGGGACAGAGCCACAGGCGGCTTGTCTAGGGGGCACGGGGCAAGATGGAGGGGGGGTGGCTCCCCACCTCTATGTGCACCTCCAGGGGAAGCATGGGGTGCATGTGTCCCCCAAGATTTGTGCATGAGGCAAGAGTGGGTGCAGGTTGCCTGCTGCAGACTCTGGGTTTTCTGCTCTGCTGCCTTTGCCCTGGGAGATTGGCAAGGGATGCACAGCCAGCGTGCATCTGGCAACAGTAGCAGCAGCAAGTTGTGCCTTCCACTGCTGGGCTGGCAAGGGATGTGCAGCCACTGCACAGCTCCCAGGGCAAAGGCAGCAAGGCGAGAGCCCCAGGCCCGCAGTGGGCAGCCCACATCTGCCCTTACTGCACTCAGCTCTGGTTAGAAGCATCCCAATGCTTAAAAATGGTGATGGCAGCACTTAAAATGGCAATGGCAGCATTTGAACTAAAGCTCATTTGACGAGCTTTAGTTCAAGCGCCCCCACCACCATTTTTAAGCACTGGAACACTGATTCCCCTGGACAAGCCATCTGCGGCTCTTCCCTGCTCCCTGCCCCAGCCATGGAGTCCCATTCACTGCCCTGGCCGGGCAGCATCCCCAGCCCCTGCCCCACTCCCTCCTTCACTGTAAATCCTGTAAATTCCTGTAAATTGGTTATCAGATCGGTATCGGCCAGTATGCCTAGTGTATAATTAGCTATTGGTATCAGCCCAGAAAATCTTTATCAGTGCACCCCTACTTTGTTTCACTGCAACTTTTAGAACTGAACTGAACAAAATCTTTTGTGGACTTGGAAGGTGTCAGTTAGTTGGGATTTATATCTTTGGGTTTCTTATCTCTTTGCCTTCCCCGTTGTGGAATCCCGTTCTTATTTCTTCTTTCCCTTTATGGTCTTCTCTGACAAGGATGTTTTTGTGTTTTACACATTATCTGAACGTTTTAACAAAAATATATCTATTGTAGCAAAACAACATCTAATACATTTGGTTACAGCAATCATTACTACTACTATTTTAAAATAAAGCTATGATATAGTGTATATGTACTATTTAATGTATGCTATTCCTTTATCTCCTTTCAGGCCTGATGCTTTGTTTAATTATGTTTGATGGTTTTCTTTACTTCCTGACCAAGTTAGTTGTCACATCTATAAAGGTTCACACTGCAGTCACTAAGAAACAGGCTTTGGGCCTCCTGCTTAGCAACACTTGCAGCTTAGCTTAGGCCCTTTGAAAATGGCTATGGCTGGCAACAGACTATGGTCTCAATACGAGTCTACAGTGTGATGCAACTGCACAAAAGGCAGTGCAGTTTTGGAAAGCATCAATAGAAATATTAGGTGCAAGACATGGGAAGTGGTTGTGTCTAGGGCTGGTTAGGCCTCATCTAAAGTATTGGGTTCCACATTTGAAAAAAAAAGACCTGGAGAAGTTATAGAGGATACAGAGATGGGCAAGAAGAATAACCAAGGGTTTGGGAAGCAAGTCATATGAGGAAAAGATGACTGAAGGAAATAGGCATGTTCAGTTTGTGGACAAGGTGCTTAATAGGGGATGTGATAGCAGTCTTCAAATACTTGAAGGGCTGCCATACAGAAGAGGGAAAATGCCTCTTCTCTCTTGCTGCGGAGCACGGGATACAAACAATGACTTGACGTTGCAGTAAAATAGGTTTAGATTGGATACAAGGAAAAATGTCTTCACTGTTAGAACACTGAGGCAGCGATGTAGACGGTGTAGGGGAGTTGTGGATTCTCCATTGCTGGAGGTGTTCATGAAGAGGTTGGACAGCCACTGGTCAGGGATGATCTAGGCATAGCTATGCCTAAGTTATACCATGGGTATTTCCCGTGCTTCTGGGCTTTGCTGTTTGCCTAATAGGGCTGGCAAGGAATTCCTCCCTCCCTGCTGCTACACGTGTCAGGGTTTTTTAAAGCTTTTCTCAGAAGCATTGGGTATTGGCTGCAGCCAAAGCTTGGGATTTTGACTGGAGTGTGCCAGTGTTCCTGCTGGGACTTAAAGCTGGTGGTTCCTGGCTAGAGGGTCCTGCCCTTCTACTTAGGGTTGCGACTTATCGCTGTATCTTGTGATCACACTTGTGCGGCCTTCTGTCCTTATATCTTATGAAGAATCCCTTGCATTTGAAATCTTGCTTAACTTTATCCTAACCATGCAGTTGGTCCAATAAAAAATACTGCCCACAAAATCCTTGCCTCTCCCACTATTTCTTCAGCATTTTAGAAATGATTAGCCTATGAAAAGTTGCTTTCTGATGCTTTCTGCCTAGACAAGCAGCTCGTTGGAGAGAGATCTTGCAGACTTTTTGGTTATGTTGCCTCAGCTACTGAACCAGACTCTGTACTCTGACTGTGCTCCAGAACCAGGCTTCCTGTGTCCTGTCCCACTTAGTTGTCCCCTCTCAATGCTAGTCATTTATCTAATTTAGTAACCACACACAAGGGACATGTATAACCATTTTTCCTTGTCTGGGTTTCAAAGTTCTAAATATGGGTCACTTTCAAATCTCTCCTTATTCTGAGGAGAATCAGTCTTACCAGTCAGTCTTACCTCGGTCCTTGGGAAGACCTTTGAGAAAATTATCAAGGAGCACTTCTGCAAGGGCCCAGCAGGAGAGGTAATGCTCAGGTGCAACCACCATGGGTTCATTGAGGGCAGGTTCTGCCTGACTAACCTGGTTTCTTTTTATGATCAGGCCACAAAGGCCCTGGATGAGGGTGTTGGGGTGGATGTCGTCTTCCTGGACTTTAAGAAGGTCTTTGACACGGTTTCCCACCACATTCTCTTAAAAAAACTAGGTGACTGCAGCATTGATGCCTACACAGTCAGATGGGTGGCAAATTGGCTAGATGGTCGCACCCAGAGGGTGGTGGGGGGATGGATCATTTTTGACCTGGATGGATGTGGGTAGTGGAGTCCCCCAAGGCTCTGTCCTGGGGCCTGCACTGTTCAACATCTTTATCAGCGATCTGGATGTCGGTGTGGAATGCACGCTGTCCAGATTTGCTGATGACACCAAGTTGTGGGGCGAGGTGGGCCCACTGGAGGGGAGGGACAGAATCCAGCTAGATCTAGACAGGTTACAGAGGTGGGCAGATGAGAATAGGATGGAATTCAACACAGACAAGTACAGGGTACTGCAGCTAGGGAGAAGGAACCAGAAACACACCTGTAGGCTGGGGAACACCCTTCTTGTCAACACGGTGGCAGAAAAGAATCTTAGAGTCATTGTTGACTCCAGGAGGAACATGAGCCACCAGTGTGAGGAAGCAGTCAGTAAGGCTAACCTCACCTCATTGTGCATCTACAGATGCATCACAAGCAGGTCCAGGGAGGTGATCCTTCCCTTCTAGGTGGCATTGGTCAGGCCACAGTTGGAGTACTGTGTCTAGTTCTGGGTGCTGCACTTCAAGAGGGATGTGGCTAGCATTGAGAGGGTCCAGAGGAGGGCCACTCTCATGCTCAAGGGGTGGTGGGGCAGGGCCTACAAAGAGAAGCTAAAGGACCTGAACCTATTCAGCCTCCACAAGAGGAGGCTGAGAGGGGATCTAGTGGCCGTTTATGAACTCACCAGTGGGAATTGAGGGAGGCTCTGTTTCCCCGGGTACCACCCAGGGTTATTAGGAATAACGGCCAGAAATCATTAGAGAGAAGGTTCAGGCTGGACATCAGGAGACATTACTTTACAGTTAGGGCTGCCAAGCTCTGGAATGGGCTCCCAAGTGGGGCAGTACTCTCTCCTACTTCAGGGTCTTCAAGAGGAGTCTGGACAGATATTTGGCTGGGGTGATATGACCCCAGCACTCGTTCCTGCCTTGGGCAGGGTGTCGGACCTGATGATCTGTTTAGGTCCCTTCCGACCCTAAGCACTATGATACTATGAGTCAAATGCATAGAACACAAATCCTCGAATACCAAGACTTCCTGCAGATCCTAGCTTTCAGGTAGAAAACAGAGGGAGGGGCTCAGACCACTTCCTGCAGGGACTGAGCCCCCCAATCCTAGTTCACGCAGGAGAGCAGGGCTTCAGACGCACCTTTGAGAGCCAGTACCTCCTTCTCAATGTTTAGATTCACCCCATATAAAGTCCTACATATAGAGTCCTTAATTTTCCGTAGCATGTCACGTTCGACTTCTTTTCCATGCAGAGTTAATGGGTGCCACATATTACATGGAGTAAATGTTGAGTGACTGAGGCTTGCTAATTGTTTTTATTTGGGGGGGGCTACTGGCTTAGTTATATTCTCAGCAAGATACTTTTTGTGATCCTGTCTTGAAATCAGAACCAGGTGACATTACAATGAAATAAAGTATAACAATGTGTGCCAGGTAGATGGCCGGAATATGATAATAAACTGAAACACCAGGAACACTTAAAAAGGAAAAAGAAACTCTTTGTTTTGCAAGTTGGAAGTGATTACCTTTTATAATGCATATTCCATTCTGTGAGCTTATTGTTTGGGTTCTTAAGTCAAGCAGTTAAGTTATTTTATAATTATAATACTATCTTTCTTTGCAATTACAGATACAAGGTATATATCTGTTTTTAAGCTGAACCATGAGTCTTGTACTACATGATCTGCTTGTTTGCTGCCATCAACTTGAAAAAGATAAAGTTACAGAGCGAAGGGTAATTCATTTCAGTATGAGTGTCAGACTGTGTATGTAAAGCAATGGAATGAATACATAATACCTTTTTTTCTGACGCGTTTTCAGAAAGAAATTGAAAAGTTCAAACGACTTATCCGTGATTCTGAAACAATTCAGCAGCTGGATCGGAATTCTGATTCTAAACAAGGAAAACAACTTAACTGGGATGCTGTGTTTAGGTACTTTTGTGTCCATAGTGCCTTCATTTGTTCTCTTTCCAAATTGTGATTTGCTCCATACAGAGCAGTACTATATTGTTTCATAGTGTAGTAGGTCAACACCACCACTTTTGTACATCTGAAAATTAGAATCAGAAACTTATTTGTCTGCTTATTAAAAAAAAAAAAAAGAAAGAAAAAGAAAAGGAAAAGATGAACTGTAAATTGTCTTTAAAGTATATCAATATATTTCACAAAAAGGAAGTTAACTGCTTTGGTGTATTATTGATCAATTTTAGTGGATGCTAAGGGATGTCTGTGTTTCAAAACTACCAGCAGCAGACTAGGTTGAACATAGTTAATTATAAATATATTTATGATTATTAATAACTTCATTTTATTACAAAGTTACGGTTTTGTAATAAATTCTTCAAATGCTTCATTGTAATACAAAATTATGATCTTGTTGCCCCTATCAGAATGAAAATCTGTAGGTTGTGTCTGATTTTCAGATTGCAGTTTTTTAAACATATACACAGAGTGTATAATTCAATAAAAACCTTTGTTTTTAAATTAATCCACTGAAGTGTAACTCATGGCCTAAACTAAATTACGCTACATGGTCTGTGAAGGCCCGTATCTTTAATACTGAGGTCTGTTTCATATATGTTGCGGATTGGGTCTTTCAACTCAAACCTCCAGGGAGCCAGAGAGAACAGATCTGTGGGCTATATGATTGGCACTCATGCCTTAGTTAATCATTTCCTGACACAAACTATTTCTACTAAATTTCCTCTGACAGTATGTACTAGTGTATGAAAGCAAACTCTATATACTAGTTAAGCAGTTTTGATTCAGAAAAAGACTCAGGAGCTTGTTGCTCACTTGTTTTTATAATACTCATTCTAATATTATAAAAGCCTTTGTCTGTCTGTCTGTCTGTCTGTAACATTTTATTTGCACTCTGATTGGTTGTCTGAAACAACCAATGTGCTCCAAAAGCATTCCAGACAAGAGGTGATGGAGCGAGACGGTGAGACCAGCAGCGCTGGCCTCACCCCCATGGCCTTGCTGCCTGGAGGCAGTAGCAGTGTGGGGTGCTGGTCGAGGGGGATGACGGGGCAAGTACCCCCTGCTCCTGGGAGGTGGCAGCATGGGGTGCTGAAGGTGCAGCGCTAGCCTCGGGGGCTCCCCTCCCCCCCCTCCAGCCTTGCTGCCGCAGGACCCCAACAAAAGCCGCTGGGGAGGAAAGGGGGGTGCACAGTGACGGCACCCCACCACCGGGCCCTGAAAACAGCCAGGAGGGGGTTGTGCACGGCCAGACACGCTGCAGCAGCAGCATGGGGTGCTGGGTGGTGGCTGTGTGCAAGCTTCCCCCTCTCCCTCCCACCTGGGAGGCAGCAGCGCTGTGGGTGGAGGCGGGGAGGGCACACTGAGGTGAACTGGCAGTGGGGGAGTAGGGGCAGTGTGGGCTGGTGGGTGGCGGCACTCCAGCCCCAGCCTGCCTCCTCCCCCGTCCCCACCGCCCATCATTCTTGACCAACAATTGGCTAGTTTTATCATAATCAAGAATCTGCATAGCTTATGTGGTTTTTGTATTTGAAAAGATTTCTGCAGACATACATCCAGAAAGAAACGGAGAGCCTCAGGCTGGCAAAACCAAATGTGTCTGTCTCAACACAAAGTTCCAGACAGAAAAAGATGCAAGAGATGGGAAGTTTAGTCAAATACTTCATCAGATGTGCCAATAAAAGTTAGTAACGTTATATCTAAATATAAGTCTTGATGTTTTAATGTTTTACTCTCAGGATTGAATTCTTGATCTAAACCAGATGACGTACAGTTTTAATGTATACAGTGACCATGCTTGTGAATTATTATATTTCTTGAATATCTTAGTAAACATTTTCAGATGCCCAAAGAATTTGCTGATCAAAATTGTCATTTAAGACAGCGGTCTTATGTCATCTGGTTTTGGGATTTAGCATAGTGTTTATGTTGCTACTAATTTGTTTGCATCTTTGAGGTGCCTAGTAGGGCTGTGCAAAGCTTTGGTAGCCAATTCGATTTGGAGGAGATTCAGGCCGATTCGGCAGCCAAATCTCCAAAACCAAATCAAATCAAAAGACCAGTTAAAAGGTCCAAATCAAATCAGAAGCCTCTGAATTGATTTGGAAAAATTCCGTGCTGCTTTGGAT